CTGGGGCCGGCGACAGAGGCCTCGGGCTCGCGCTGGAGTGGGATCCGGTGCCTGGGGGCCTTCCGCGCGCGCATCTGTATTTCGGATTCGTTAGCAGCGGCTGCTGGTTGGTAGATCCGTGACTCATTTCGGTCAGGGAGGTAGGCGGGGGTTGGTTGCTCGGTTTTGGGGGCTTGGCTGGTGGTGAGGGAGGTGTGGGTGGTCTTGGAGGTGGAGATGGGGGCTTGGGCGGCATAGGTGGCTTGGGAGGCGGTGAAGGGGGCTTGGGGGGTTTTGGAGGCTTCTGCTTTGCCGGAGGTTTTGGTGGCCCGGGTGGCCGGCTGGGCGCGAGCTGGGCGTATTGGCAGATAGAGGAGGGGGAGGAGGAGGATGCGGCAGGCGGAGCTGGATTACGAGAGCCGTCTGATGATGGTGGCGGTGTGGACGTGGACTGTTCGTGAATTGCGGTTGTCCGTGTCGCCGCCGCCGACTGCGGGTAGCGGGAGGCGGCACTGTCCGAAGCCGTCATGTGGCGGCGGCGGGCGGGGCCCTGCTCCGTATCTCGGTCCTTTTTGAGAGAGTAGAACTGACGACGGCGGCGATGGAAGTGGTGCTGTTGAAGGGGCGGATGCGGATGAACCCCCCGGGGAGGGTGAGCGACATCGGTGGAGGTCGCGGTGCCGGGGGGGGTCGTCCATCTCGGCATCACGGCACCGTCAGCCGTCGTACTGCCGTCAATTGTCGTACTCGGACGTTGTCGTACATGACCGCTGCGGCACACAAAGGGCTTCCGCTCGTGGCAAGGAGCCCATCCCAGCTGCGGGGAAGGCGGAGGGCCGCGCAGGGATCGCCGCCTTACGGCCGCTGCAGCTGCTGCTGCTGCTGCTGTCGTACCGCCAGCGTGATGATGACCCAGCCGAAGAAACGGACATGTGGCTTCTTCCTCCTCCTCCTCCTCCTCCTTCGCACCGCCGACTCGATGTGGCTTTCCGCGGGTCTTCCTTTCAGCCGCCAACCAGCATTCCGAACCTTCAAATAAAAACGAAGGTGGTGCGACCAGGGGGACCACCAGCAGCAGCCGCAGCGGCAGAAGCAGTGAAAGCAGCCGAGTGACGTTGGCGTGTACACGTGGTTAGTCCTCACGTGGCTTAAAGCGGAATAAAAGGCCAGACAAGACTTAAAGCAATAAAAGGCTATAGCAGATTGATGACGATGTTTCTATGGAGGTGTCGGGTCAATCCTCTGATCCCCCTTTTATTTGTGGTGGTGATAACCCACCCACGCACGCACACACGCACCGGGACAGAGCTCCGCCACAGCCCGCCAGTGGCCAACCCCGGCTCCAAGCTGCGATGCCTCCACCAGGGAGGCCCCCCCGGGCAGCAGCCCCGAACAGACACGTCGAGCGGCCTCGTGCGACTGCGGGGATCGCGGCGTGCCTGGGGGTGAACTGAGGAACGAGGGATGAACGGATCCGCACACGCGACACAACGCAATAGGAAGAGACATTCCGCCACCGAGTACTGCTTGGGGGCCCACCTCGGGCGGGTGCAGTGCGCCGACCCGAGTGTTTTCCTTTGTGTGTGTGTGTGTGTGTGTGTGTGTGTGTTTATGTGTGTCTGTGTGTGTCTGTGTTTATGTGTGCTTATGTGTTATGTGTGTGTGTGTGCGTGTCGATGTGTGTGTTTTACGCGTGTGTGTGCATGTGAACGCTTTCCTAGTCACACATGCGCCCTCATGCGCCCTCGTGCAGCTCCTGATAGCACCTGCTTGGTTACCTGGGGGTGGGGAAATACGATCAAGTGCTCGTTACTGGAGGGGGAGGGGGAGGGGGAGGGGGAGGAGGGGGAGACTGCGGGAAGGTTCCCTCTCGCTAACGCTGTCCCCGCCGCTGCAGCCAGACTGGAATTGGCCGCAGCGGTTGCTGCTGCTGCGGTGGCGGCGGCGGCGACGGCGGCGGCAGTGCTGGTTGCGCCAGCAGCGGCGGCGGCGCTGGCAGCGGCAGAGTCAGGGGCAGCGGCAGCGGTACGCAACACTGCGAAGAGAGAGAAGGCTGCAAAGAGGGCGCCTCCGATCAGTCTGTTGGGGAGAGTGACGCAGCGGGATGGGCTCAGTGACCCGCTCCGTTTGGTCGACATCTCCCGGTGTTTGGCGATCTGTACTCGGGCCAGCGCCGCGATGTTACTGCTTGCGCACATGTACACACAAAGGGACGTCAGCATGGAGCGGGATACGGCAGCGTATGTAAATAAATATATCATCATTTGAGGTCTCCGTTGGTCGTTGGTATACCTGCTGCTGTAAAAGGCCACGGGACAGGAAGCCCCTCTCCCGCCGCCCAAGTATGAGTTCTGTGCATCCATGTACCCTATTCAGTCGAGCAGGAGGGCTCTCATAGAACTTAGCAGCGCTGGCCTGCCGAGAGCTATTCGTGGTGCGCTTGCGTGCGGGCTTGGAGCCAGCAATCGCGACTTGTATGTATATGCTTATGTATATGACCGAAACGTTATTGGATAATAACTGTTGATGTGGTTTGTTATTTGTTTCTGTGAAGTGATGCTGAGCTCTTTCAAAGCCCGTAGAACGAGTTCAAAAGCGGTAATTAAGAAACAAGGTGGTGCAAAATGTGCGATGAGGTTGCTCGTATGCCTCGGGTGCGTAATTCTAGGACAGAGTGGTGGAAGTTAGTCTTCTGACGACGTCCTCGATGTTTGCGCTCTGCCGCGGTTTCCGTCGAGGCGGAAAGCTACGGACCCGGCAGGAAGGTCGATAAGGACGAGACACGATGCTGGCAGCAGCTACTCAGGTAGAAAGCCATAAACCAATGTAAACTATTGCCATTTTTTACTTGGATAATATGCAGCTTTTATATCTTATCCTTAACTGCAATTAGTAATAATAATGTTCTCGCAATGCGCCGCAACCTCCAAAACCGCCAAACACTGCCGCATCCACCGCCTCGCGAAGCACTACTAGGTAATCTGTGTGTTATCAGGTTAAGTATCTCTGCCCAGATCTGATGTATATTCTCATGTTAAGTTATCTTAAGGACGGTATCAGCGAGCGTCGTGCGTGACGAACGAGCTTGCCGTTGCAACTTCCTTGTCACATCGCAGCCGCCTGTATAATTTGTATTATATTTTAAAATTGTTTTTCCCTTATGAGATACCTAAAGGGTTGTAGGCAGTAGCGGGGTTCCGCAAGATCTGTAAGTATTTTGCTGCGGAGCTCTGCGGAGCTTAATTTGGCAACTTTCAAACTGCAACAAATGCCCTACATCTACTACATCACCAAACGAGGCATCAGCAAGGTCAATCTTAAAGAGCTCATTAGGCTTTTTCACGAACATTTCAATGCGTGCTAGCTATATCTTAAAATGCTATGCCCTGTGTCCGCGCCAGCGAGCAGTAGTACTCATATACTCATAAACTCATATACTCATGCATATACATGGGATGCCCTACGAGGTGTACCCGGGTGCCCCCAGCACCCCCCGACCAAACAAATCAATCGACAGGAATGGAAGCCTGCAGGCAACTGCTGACTGGCCTGCCTGGACTTGGCTTGGTTTCTTCGTTTTTCCGAATCGATGGGATCGACTTCCAAAGCAAAGCGTACGCAGCGACGTGAGCAATATATAACGCGGATGAGGAATAAGAGCAATCCTGCAGCTAGAAATTCCCTTTGAAGACGCGCTGACCGGGGAGAGTTTGTGCGGTGGTGGTTGGCGGATTTGGATTCGGATTTGGGTGAGGTTGCCTCCTGGGATGGATCCAGATCCCCGACAGCTCCGGCGTTTGCCAAATTAGAAATGGTAATTGATGGTCAAAGAAAACCTGGTTTAACGGCATGTCGCCACCGAAATTGGATGGGCATGTCATCATCATCATCATCATTTGGATCCAGACCGCACGCAGGAAAAAGAGCTGGAACATATACAGCAGGGGTATGTATGCCCAGGAAACATCACCGTACGGCACTGATGCGTTTTCGTTTTCCGTTGGGGTTCATGGGATCTCCACGCATCCCATCCGGTGCACCTGTCAGCTGGGACGCAAGCCCCGCCTGCAGAACGTATTTTTTTGCCAAATTTGTCGCCACGGCGCAGAGGAGGAATTTGAGAGTATACCACGTGTTTATACAGAAATACATACGGAGTGTCAGATCCACTTGAGTCCCCCTCTCACGCGTGTGGTGGATTTTGGCCCAGGACGAAAAAGGTCGTCAGATTTGCACTTCCCATCCTGAAAGGGACACTCCTGTTATATGTGAAAAGGGTGAAACAACTTTCAAGCTCTTTTAAGGGCATCGAGGAACGGACAAGTCGTAACAAGGCCCTCCAGAGGGGCAATTCCTTTAGTAAAAAGAAGCTTCCTTTGCTCTCCTTGGTGTTCTTTCCGTTTCATAACCGCAACCTGTAAACGTGCGAGATATAAGAGTTTGGTTTCAAAGACGTGTCTCGACCGACACGACCCCACCACATATACAGCTCGACGAAGCGGCCGCTCGACGGCAGCAGCGGCAGTTTACGAGGCCCGGCAGTTTAGTGCGTGTATCTGTCAACATGCCCCCCCCCGGGAACCCTAGGATGAACTTTCCCACCTAATTCCCACGACCCCACAAACCACAAACCACAAACCACACACCCGCCGTATGTCATTCGCACGCTGCAAAACCCACACCCGCCCCATGCCCCCCCTTTACCCCCCCACCACTAGTGCCACCCGCCCCACCACAAACTACCAAGGACACCACCCTCCACACACAGGAGCCAACTGCCCGCACGCCGTCCCATGTAATGTCCTGCCACGTCATGATACTCGTTGCGCCGTACACCATATTCATCAGGCCCCTAACCGACCAACTAGAACTCCCAACCCCCATGGGCGTTACTTAGCGACCATTACCAGAACCAAACCGAAGCTCAGACACACGTGAACACACCGCAGCCCACATTCAGGCGCCGTTTGGATCCATCGTTCCAATAGATCCATATCTGGAGGGTATAGCCCATTTGCACATGTACGTTAAGCTTTTAGTCCTTAGAAGCGCTATGGCCCCCCCACAGAACGGGGGCTGCCACGGAGTCGCTAACCGCCACATCAGGGATGCCGCGCGAGAGACACGAAGGAGCAGACAAACGTACAGATAAACACACGAGGTAAGACGTGCAAAGCCAGGAGCAGGGCTGTATCAGGTACATGCAATATAGTGCATACACACATACACACATACACACTAACCAAAGCTCCCATCCTTCCACCGACAGAGGTAATCACTCTCTAAGCCGGCACGACACAGCGGTGTTTATTCCCTTCTGACACATACATACATACACATACATACACATACATACATGCACACATACATACACACATACATACATACACAACAGCAGCTCCTCTAGCCATTCCATAACAAACACACGCCACCACACGGAGAGGGGCAAACGACAAAGAGACTTAAGGTTTTGAGCTCGTGGCCGCCAACTAACACCCCACCGCACCACCACGACGACGACTGCCACATCACCCACATCCCCCCGGGTGCTACCAGGGCACATGTCCACCCACATAGGGCCCGCCGCAGCCCGCCACATCCAAACAGCAGTACGAAAGCCGTTAGTCCGTTGATTAAAAATCGTCGGCCATCAGTTATTCAGTTAGATGTATGAAGTAAATCAGTCAGTCGGTTAGCCCAGGCAGTCAACCAATTAAACCACCTTCTCAACGACCATAGACAGGAAGTAAGCAATCAGCGATGTCGTGTCCAGTGCGTGCGTGCGTGCGTGCGTGTGTATGTTTGAGTGTGTGTGAGTGTGTGTGTGCGTGTGATATCACCATCACTTCACACAGCCCGTCGTACGTGCCGTACATTTCCTCCTTCATTCTTCTGCCTCGTCATCATCGTCATCATCATCATCGTCAATGACCACCACTTCCTGCTCTGTTACGGTCTCAGCTGCCGCCGCCGCCGCCGCCGCCGCCGTCGCTGTCGCTGCCGGTGCCGGTGGCGGCGGCGGCGGCCGCTCCAGGAGGGGTGCCATGGCGGCCAGTGTACGAGGCTCCTCCTTGGGACTGGCGGCGGGTGCCGCCGCCGTCGCCGCCGTCGCC